TATATAGTGGCTGGCTGGGTGTAGTAGCACATATAATCTGAGCACTTGGGAGGTGGGGCAGGAGGATTAGTTTCTTTGTGGGTTTTTTTTTTTTTTGTCTTTGTTTTAAAAAGGCAAAATAAGGAGCTGGGGAGATGGCTCAGTGCATACTCATGGTTGTTCACAATCATCTGTAACTCCAGTTCTAGGGGATCCAATGCCCTCTTCTGGGTTCCCCAGGCACTTGCATGGTTCAATACCATGCAAAACACCCAGGCATGGAAAATAAATAAAACGGAAAATTGTAATTGCATCTTACACACTACACTGCTAGCTCCAGCCCTCTGCCTTGACCACATCTGCCCTGGGTTTAGGCAGGCAATGATTGTGGGCTGGCTGGCGCTCACCAGCCTATCCAGGAACCCTGCATTCTCCACAAGTCATGGGAATTAGTGAGCTTATAGGGTATTTGTTAATGGTTTGCATATAATTAGTTGGTTAACTAATAGGATCGCTGATTGGCCTTTCCTCTCATTTATGAATCTGGCACACAGTAAGCACTGGGTAAATATTTCTTTGGATGAATACATGCATAGAATAAAGATTAAAATGGAGTTCTAAAACAGTATCAAACAAGAGTGAAGCCACTGACCACTTTTTACCAAACTGTGCAAACAGAAGAACAAACATTTACATGGGGAACAACTACTTTCAAAATTTAGGGCTGGGGAAATTTGTTCCTACATCCTTCACCAAACACTGCTGCTTGTGGGCTGGGGAGAGAGCTGTGCTGGTAATGGGCTCGCCTTGTAAGCCTGGGGAACTGAATTTCAGCTTCAGGACCCATGTGGAAAAGCCAGGCATACTGGCACAGACTTGTAACCCTACTGCTGGAGACAGGTGATCCCTAGAATTCAGGGCCAAAGCCAATGAGAGATCCTGTCTCAAAGCAAAAATCAACAGAGGACGCCTGAGAAAAGACACCCAAGGTCACTGTTTGCCCTCTGTGCATGATCCCCCTCCCATACACATACACAATAAAAACAAAAAAGTGTCACTTGTACATTGCTTAAGTGGAATAACACCATTCTTTTCCAATCTTCCCTGGTGCTGGTAAACCAGATTTGGGGTCGATTATAGTTCTGTCAGTAAGCAAACACACACACTTTCTCCTTCGCCTTGGCCCTCGTTTGTCTTCCTATTTGTGTTTTCGCTAGCTTATATTTGTTACAATCCCCCTTGGGCTTTGGAGGAAGGGGGAATAGAGTAATATTTAGAAGTGCCAGGAGCTTTATTAACCACCTATCACATGTCAGACACTTACACGCACTAGCTCAGCCGGTCCTTATTATAGCTGGTAGGCTCTGATCACCCCGTTTGCTGTGGGTGGTAACAGACTTGCCTAAGGTCGCACAGCTGCTAATTGGTGCTTCAAGACTCAGAACCTGGCTGCAAAACCAAGGCCAGCCTAACACCAAACCTGAGGACTTTCCCCTAAGCCAGTCCAAACCAGCTTGCTAATGCTCGTTGGTGATATTGTTTAGCTAGCTGAGGTGTGTGTGTGTGTGTGTGTGTGTGTGTGTGTGTGTGTTCATGCGTGCTCATGTCCATGTATTTGGAACTTCTAAAGGCCATTTTAGAGGACAAGGGGAGGTAAAGATATTTCTTGTACATTCTTCACAGAACGCCATACTTCATCTATTACAAGCTACTACATCTATTTTTGTTTGTTTGTTTGTTTGTTTGTTTTTTCGAGACAGGGTTTCTCTGTGGTTTTGGAGCCTGTCCTGGAACTAGCTCTCGTAGACCAGGCTGGTCTTGAACTCACAGAGATCCACCTGCCTCTGCCTCCCGAGTGCTGGGATTAAAGGCGTGTGCCACCACTGCCCAGCTAAGCTACTACATCTATGTACCCACACTGTTCACTAAACTATAGGCACATCCCAGTTTCAGAGCAATATGAAAAATAAGTGTGCTAGAATTATAGTCCATTCCTGTAATGGTGTGTGTGTGTCCTCTTTTTCTCTCTCACTCACTTGCTGGCTGGTTTGCTGCTTTAATTTCACTGCCAAAACCTTGCCTGCCTCTTCCATATCTCATGTCTCCACATCCTCATGAACCAGTTGATACTGATTTAGACCATCTCCCGTGAGCCTCCAGAAAGACGCGCACTTACCGGAAGACCGCAGTCTAATTTTTTAAGAGCTGAACTACATGGTGTCATTAGGAACGTCCTCCAGTGACTGTCAACAACTCCTTTCCAGGGTCTGGCCTAGCTCTAGCCTTCAGATGTACCTATTAACTCACTACCAGTTCATTCTGCCCATTCCACACAGCCGCTGGGTCAGCCTGCCCACTGTAGGGAACGATTTCCCTCCAGGCTGTTGAAGAAGACAAGGGAGGGGACTGGGGGCAGCAGCTGAGGCCTGTCATCCCGTTTTCTCTAACACAGGAAGCATGGCTCCCCAGACATTCTCTGAAGCACCAGGGCCTTCCCTTTCTTCATTCCAGAAGGAGGCAGGGTGGGGAGAACTGAGCCTTCCTACCCTTTTTAGATCATGCTTCCTCTCCTGAGTGTGGAGGAATCTTTAAGGGTTGGAGGGCCCATCCACACTAGGCACGGTAGGGACCCTGGGTGGCAGGATGCGGCTGAGCTGGCCGGCTAGTTCCTAACAGCAGCTTTTTCTTCTTCTAAGACACTTATTTTGCTTCCTTCTTGAGTATGTGGGGTCAGCAGGTACAGATGCTGCCTCTCAGCTTTGAAAGGGAGGCAGATCCCATCAGGAAAGGATTTGGTGGTATGTCTTCAGTCTGGGGATAAAATCTGTAGAGGAACCAGGGCTGACTGGGGAAACTGATGACGCCAGCGGAGGGGTTCAGCCCAGGCCTGAGAACTGAGGACGATTGCTGGGATCCCCGTTAAACAAGGGATTTGGGGCCATTGGAGATGGATGGACAGGTTTATTCTTGACCAAGTTTCCTTGGCGTACAGCTGGCTGTGAAGCCCAGACATGCATGGTGTGGAGTCTCTGTACCTGTGGAGTCTCAGAAGCTGTGTGAGGAAGTAGAAAAGAAAGAAAGGCAAGGGAACCCAGAGGGAGGCCCGGCTTGAGGTCTAGGCCACTAAGCAGGCCTCACTTTCTCAGGTTCAGAGCAGAGGGTACAGCCATCTCAGCTTTGCAGGCTGAAGTTGGGTTGGATCTTGGGAACCTGCTGGCTCAAGCTTGTCCCTTGGCTGCAGTTTCAAAAGGTTCAGCCACTCCTGATTACCCCCCCCCCCCCCCCCCCCCCCCCCCCCCCCCCGCCCCAAGTCCAGCTAAGGCTAGGTTAAGGCCCAAGCTCCAATTCAGCATCTCCCTGCAGCCACCAGGCCCGGCCCTGCTCAGCCCGGCCACCCAGCCTCCTCCCGGCCCTCCTTGGTGACTTCTAGGCGCCCTAGGGCGTCGGCGAGAAGTCCGCTGTCCTCAGGATCAGATTCAGGGCCCACGGCTGTAGGTGTGAGCATGGGGTGGTCAGGATCCATGCAGGACGTGCATGCCCTCAGCCCCCAGGACACCGGCTCCCAAATCCATCGCGTGCAGGCAGGGCTGTGGGAGAGCTGGTGCGGGGAGGTTACCCGGCCAGTGGCCAGGCCCAGCCACGGGCGCCAGGGAGCGGGCCTAGCTGTCCAGTCTCAGTGGGAACAGGGCACGGCGACCCGGCCGCCCGTCCCCTCTTCCCGCCTCACTAATCTAAACCATGCGGGGCTCCAGGCCCCTGCCCAGCTCAAGGACTGCGGGAAAGCCACCCAGCTACACTGCCGAGGAGCCTGCGGCCCGATCGAGGCTTGGGGTCGGAAAGGACTGAGGAGTCCCAGGACCCTAGAATCCCCCTCTCCGGGGGGCGGCGGGCGAGAACTGATTGACAGCTGCGACGTCAGCACTGGGGGGGGGGGGAGCGGCCCCGAAGGGAGGGAGGACCAGGAGGAGGGAGCAGAGGCCCCAAAGTGCAGCCTCGGAGATCAAGGGCCCATTCCACACCCGGGATGTACCCGGCCCCGAGGACGCAGCGGGCATCGGGACTGTAACCCAAGGCCCAGGCAGAGCCTTCACGGTCCCACGCCTCTCCGACCTGAACTGGTTGTGGACCTGGGGCCGCAGGCGCCTCCGCATGCTGCTGTGCAGTTAGGGTGAGTGTGGGCTCCAGCCCGTCGCGGGTTAGCTGGGCGCGGGGCTGGGGTCACCCAGCCCAAGGTTAATCAGCAGGATGGGGCGGGGGTGGAGATGAGCTGAACAGGGGCAATTGGTGTAAGGACCACGGTGGTCAAAGCCCCTGGTAGGACCGCGACTGTGCTTTAGTAGTCAGATCACTGCTTGGGCTGGATACCCAGTGGCAGGGGCACAAGCCCTTAGTCAGGAGCGTGGGACTAAATGGGTCTAGGGACCAAAGAGTATTGTTGCTTAAGAGGCAGCTTCGTCAGGACAAGAGCGGTGGCCTTGAAATTTGAATCAGCAGAATAAGAAAGGCCAAAGGAGAGGGCTCGGGACTGACGGTGAAAACTGAAATTTCATGATGAAATGTAGGTGATCAGAACCTGGATGCCACGGACTCATCAGATTTAAATCAGTGACCGTTACATAAGTAACAATGGCTCAAAACTACCAGAATGTGGGAGATTACCAAAGAAACAGAGCGAATCGGTTAACTGATAGAATACTTAGGATTTTTTTTGTTAGTACAACAGTCCTTTTCAAGAGCGAATGAAAGTAGTAATAACCATTTGAAAAGGACTGAAGACTAAGTAGCTTCAAATACAGAGACAAAGGAGCCATCATTGTATTAAAGTCCCTGTCCATTGTATACAAGGAGTAATACTCATTTAGCAAATTGCTAAACTGAGGTACTGTGGGAAACACGCGAGGAAAACGATGAACAACGCAAATATTAAGGAAAATTCCTTCAGTGTTGATGCGAGACTATCATAGGATGCATTGTTAATATCATATCAATATTAAATATTAACTATTAACAAGTAATTGTAATGCATGTAGGGACACGGTGATGAGGATTACTGGAGTAATGAGAATTTATGATAATATAATTTATTAATAGTCATAACAGTATAAATAATGTTTGAGTAGTAAGTATTATACCAACGTGCTGAAAAATAATCAGAGTAATACGGGCTACAGCAATATTACAAATGATGATAAAGTAGCAAGAAGCGGTGAAGTGATGAAAAACAACAGGCAAATTAAGATCCATAGCGTTGCAAATAACGGCAAAGTCATGAGCGAGATATTATAGAGAGATGATGAATAATAATGTCTAGAGTAGCACGCACAACCCTGACAAAACAAATCATGGCAAGGTAACAAGAAATATTCTAACGATGCAAAGAAAATTTACCTGGATATCGGGGGCAATAATATTACAATTATGCTAAGTCTTAACCTAGGAAAATGTAAATAGAAATGAAGAGCTAGAAGTGGGACCATGAATGGTATACCTAGTACAAGTAAAATAATGATAGGTTAAAAGGATCAATTGAACACGTATCTAAAGACCTAGATACGGGTAACGGTATTACTAATGTGCCTGAGAAGCGCTGAAGGACGAAACAGTAACAGCAAAGAAACAACGTTTTCGATGAGGGTACCAAACTCCCACTTCACCCTTACTGCGTTAAAATCACGAATAAAATAATTCCAGAGCTAGGCATAAATATTCCTAATGTTGCCGAACTGATCAGAATTTCACTTCGATGATAACAAAACATTGAAAATTGTAAATATTTTTTTTAAAAAAAATTCCCTCTAGTATAAGGGGAAAAAAATCACTAGTAAAAAATACGAAAAGAAAATGCTACCCCTGCCCCCCGAAAAATGAGGTAGCCCAAAGTAACCATTCCAGGCTCTGAGGCAGTGCAGCCCGCGCGACGTGAAGGGCCTTGGCGCCGAGGCTGGGGCGAGCGCGGGACCCAGGATGCCAGCGCTGGGACCGAAATGGGCGCCCAAGGGGGAGGGAAAAAGGGAATCTTGGAGGGGGGGTGTCTCGAGCGGGGACTTAGTGGCGTTGGAGAGCGATCCGCGACCGCGATGGAGGGGAAGGAGAGCGCCGCGTAACTCTGGCGGCGGGTGTAGAAGGGCAGCCGTCAGCAGCGCAGACAGGGTGAAGAGCCGCTGCAAGGCCGCTGCTTGGTTCTGGGTGACGAGGGACCTCCGTGGCGCCGCAGGCAGCCCCTGCCCTTGGCCCCGCGAGCCTCCGCACCTGGGGCGGGCGGGGCGGTCCATAGGTACCCATAGGTACCCATTCTGGTTGGAGCCCAAATAGAATGGGAGGCAGCGCACAAGCCAAGACCCTCCCGGAATTCTGGATTTTCGAAGTCCTACGGGGGAACCAGCACGTGGCTCAAGGCAGGGTGCAGGGGCAGGCCACGTCCAGGGAGCCTTGCTAGTTCTAGGCGGGCTGTGGCTGGGCTGTCAGCCTTATCTTTATGGGCTTTTCCCAGCCCTGGCTGGCCCTGGCCCCCTTTTATCTCCTCGGTTGCACTTGGCTTGTTTACTTTGGAGGCCCTGGGAGCCGAAGTCTCAGTCCAGGCGGTGCAGAGGCTGGTGAGCCGGGTAGGTGAGGGCCTGTGCCTGGGGATGCAGCGCCAGAGAGTTGGGCTAGAACAGAAAGGGCCTGAGAGGACAAAAGGGAGAGATTTCGCCAAGACACACAGCAAGCCCACTAAAGCTTGGCCAGATTCTGAAGGAAGAGTAGGGTGGTGGGAAGGGAAGCGTAGAACAGTCTGTGGCAGCACCCGGAAGGATGCAGGACAGGCTGGTCCTGGCTAGCAAGATAGATTTTTCCTTTTCACTCGAGCAGGCAGGTGAATAGGCTCAGAGATTTCGGGGAAATTTAGCTGTGCCCCAAGGCAAGGTCAGACTGTGATTGTGAAATGGACCCGCCCTACTGGCCTAGTATTTTGCTAAGAGGTCTTTGAATCCTTTGGCCCAACACAGATTACTTTTTGGAACCGAAGAGCGAGTGTGTGAGCCAACTTGTGCGAATGTGAGGACAGTTTGAGGAGGCCGCTGGCAGAGTTCAGGGTCTGGATCAGAGGGACCCCAAGACAGAGTGTGTGCTCCTTGGGTGAGGAGGATGCGGTGTGGGGTTTGGAAGCGTTTGGTTCAGGATGTCTTCACTTGCCTGGACTGAGGTGCTGGATGAGGGCAGAAAGTTGAGCGCTGGCCTCAAGCGCCCCAGCTCTGGGCCCTTCTCAGGTGTGGGGCTGCAGGAACCAGGGCCCTGACTTTAGGCCTAGCTCTCCTCTCCCACAAGCCCAGGTAGTGTCCTGAGTACCCTGAGCCAAAAGTCAAGAAGACCCAGGCCTTCGGCTCCAGTTGAGCAAAAGGGAGGGACGCGGGGTGCAGCTGAGACTCTGCGGGAAGGCGGTCCTTCCTCAAGACCTACTCTTCACACAACCTCAAGTCTTAGGGGCAGGCAGACCTTAAACTGCACGTAGATCCTCCCAGGTCCAGAACCTGAAGGGAGGAGGCTAGGGTCCTGCCCTCCCGCATGCTCCCTCCCCTAGCTCAGAAGGGGGCGGGGTCCACGTGTGCCGGGGCACCCACCCGAAGCCCCGGGGGCTCAGCTCCACAGGGCCGCGGGGCCTCTGGCCGGTGTGGGTCTGGCTGAGTAACTCGGCGTGTGCTGTGCCCGCAGGAGATGCTGCAGGATAAGGGCCTGTCGGAGAGCGAGGAGGCCTTCCGGGCCCCGGGCACAGCGCTCGGGGAGGCCAGCACCACCAACGCCACCAACGTCCCCGAGCCCGCGCTGGCCGCGCCGGGTCTTAGCGGAGCAGCTCTTGGCAGCCCCCCGGGCCAGGGCGCTGACGTCGCCGCTGCAGCCGCGGAGCAGGTAGGGGCGTCGAGCTGTTTGTGCGGGTCCTTCGTGGTCGTAGCTAGGATTCCTAGGGTCAGAGACTGTCAGCTCTTTGGTTCTCCGCTGGGCATGGCTCGTGTTCTCTGCTTTCGAGGGAGGGTTCTTCTCCACCCCGAACCCTCAGGGGCTGACTCTGAGGCAGCCCTGGAAGGGAGATCCCTGATTCAGAGAACGAACCCAAACCAATGTCCAGTTTCGAAGACCCCAGAAGGGTGAAAGCCAGGGAGAAGGCCACAGAACTGTCACTGAGACGGCTTTAGAGCCACTACCGTGCACCATCACCACAACCCACATCCCCCCCCCCCAGCCTTTCTCGATGTCCCTCGGTTCGCCCACAAGCGGTGGCTAGAGCCAGCTGTGGAGTGTCGTCTGCATGGCATAGTCACCATGTGTCCTCTGTAGGATCGATCATCAGTAGGTGAAGGCCCAAGGGAGAGAGTTTGAATCTCTGATTCAAAGCTTCAAATTCTCCAGTGGTTCAAAATAATTTTGTGAGAAACGAAATCTCGAGGAGTAGGCTCGAGGGCTGGCTGTTCTGCACGCTTCGTCGGTCTGCGCTCTACTCTGTGCAGGCTCCGCGTGGAGCCCAGCTGTGGGCCAGCCAGGCAGACCAGTTCTCCTCCCTCCCATCCCCAGACCATCGAGAACATCAAGGTGGGGCTGCACGAGAAGGAGCTGTGGAAGAAGTTCCACGAAGCGGGCACCGAGATGATCATCACCAAGGCCGGCAGGTCAGTCGGGGAGAGCGGCAGGTGGGAGCCAGGAAAATGTGTCTGCCAGGAAGGCCCTTAGGGAGAGGACTCTGCAGTCCTCTGGGTTCCTGGTCTTGGGCCAGTGGGAAATTTATCAGCCACTGAGGTCCCAGCTCCACGTTCTACAGCAGCCTTGGCGGGACCTACAGCTTTTGCACCCTCCTTGGACCTGAGGGGGTCGGAAGGGACAGCATTAAGCTGTTCACGGGCAAACAAGCGCTGCCACACCCGAAGGCCACCTGCGGGGATGCTTGGCCCTCAGGGGAATTGTACTGCCTACTAACCTCCTGGTGAGGGTCGGGCTGAGGTTGTGTTTCTCAATCGCCCAAACTTTTTGGGAGCAGCATGAACCCCAAGTTCCTTATCCTAGGGCAACACCCTCCTCAACCTAGGAGAAGGCACCACCGGGTCAGTGCGCTGTCCGGGCGCCTCCCTAGCTCTCGGTGGCTGCCAGCGAAGGGTGATTTATAAAGTGGAAACATCTTTAAAATGCACTGGTGTCTGTGGGAGAGGAGGGAGGAGAGGGTGAGAAGAGAAAGACACGAGCAGTGTGTGTGTGTGTTCTTGAGAGCTCACAAGCCTGTGAATGTGTGTAAAGGAGACAGCGGCTGTGGTGGGCCGGCTGGCACAGGACAGGACTGGCCCAATGGAGCAGTTAGCAAGTGAAGGGGACAGCGACAGACCCTCAGAACTTACAGTTTAGGAAGCTCTTGTGGAGACTCTGCCCTTCTCCATCCATACCTTTGGTTTTGGTCTCTTGGAGCAAATTAGGTGAGACACGATCCATTTCCCTGGTGATGAGCCTGGAATTTGTTGTTTGGAGAAATCAGATGCTAAGCCATCAAGGGCCAGGGATGTGGAGTCAGACTATAGTGGGAGGAGTGTTCTCTTGCCAGCTCAACTGTTTCCATCTGTGCAATCCTCAGACGAGGGCCATACCATACGGGTCTCTACCTGCTTCCCCTTCACCCACAAGAGAAAAAGGTCCTGCTTCATTCGGCTGTCCATGAAGCCCATGACAGAGTTTCGTTTCAAAAGAAATAAAAATCAGTGGGGTACTGCGAGTAGTGAATGGATACTGGGGTCCTTCCTGTCCGCTCCCAAACGTAGGCATTGTGAAGATTTTTTTTGTTTGTTTTTAATTTTATTGACGATGGAAACATGAACATTTGGTCACCCTCTTGTCTCAGAAAGATGGCATGGTCACTCAGGGCTTCTCAGGGAAGGAGGAAGGTTGGTTTTAGGGTCCTGAGTTTTCTGCATTTGGGGGGATGGAAAAAGAGGACACTTCAGTGTTCTTGGCACAGGGTGGTCTGGCCGAATAGTCATGGGTGAACTTGGGCGAGAAACTATTGTCCTATGGCCCTTGGTGCCAGGTGTTTGAAAGTGACAACTGTAAATATAGCTGCTGTCCTTCCTAACTGTGGGACGCAAACCAGGGGCGTCTGTGAAAGACGCTGGTTGAGCAATCGTCAGGTGCATTACAGGTGTGAAGAAGGGGGGGGATTGTTCTCTTGTGCCCCCTAACATGGAGGAAGGAAAACAGAAAGAACTCTCTAGACTTTACATTTGTAGATTTTAATCTCTTAAAAATAGATGATGGTTATGTTCTCTGGATAGATGAGTTTCTGGTTTTCAGTGAGCTTTTCTACCTGTGTGGATCCTCCCCCTCCCCCCCCAACAGAAGTCCTCAAATCCGCACTGCAGAGCCTACCCTCTGAGTCAGAAGTCTGCGCCCTCTCCTAATGATCCTACCTAGGGGTGGGCCTCAGGGGATGGCGCTGACAGTTTAAAAATGACCCTGAGGATTCTGGTCATTTACGTGGTCCTCACGTACTTTTCTCTGGTGGAAAGTTATACTAAATCTAATTGGAAAAACTTACTAGCCTCATCCACTTCCGCTTCAGATCTCAAGGCCCCATTTCTTCCTGCAAACCTTCCTACTATCTTTTTTTGGGGGGTGGTGGTGCTAGGATCCACCCCATCCTGCACAGGGACTGAGCTACACCTCCAGAACTCTACTGTCTTCAGAGATCTCCTTCATTGGCTTGCTAGCTGTGTCCAGGCAGTCTCTGGGTGCAACCTGCTGTGTTTGGGCTTGTGGCTCTTCCACACTCCACCCAGTGTTGTCCCAGACAACTACCAGTACCCTTCCTGGGGCATGCTCATTTCTCAGCAGATGGCCCGGTTCATAGATTCTAAGATGGAAAAACCTCCTTCATGGCTCTTTTCCTTTTCTTTACTGATGCCCTGTAAAGTTTGGGATTGTTTGCTCCTGGAGACAGACTCTGGCCGCTTAGGGGCATGGATATCTGCTGTCTGGCCGGGGAAGAATGGGGCCCTGGAGAAGGGAGCCAGAATCTTCTCAAGACGGTTTCACAAGTCTCCCACCCATGGGGTCCTTGAAAGTCTGAAGGCCAGAGGGAAAAAAAAAAAGAAAACCAGCCCCATTTGGATAGTGCCTTTGACTAAAATGCTCAAGAACCCGGGGTGACAAGTGTCACGTGAGAGTCAGACCTTTCCTAGTCAGTCTCAGTTCCTCCCAGAGCAGAGCGCCCATGTTGGTAATGGCAGAGATTTCTCTCTTGGCTTCAGATCCCTTCCAAGCTTGATACATGTGAGAAACTGCATTTTTCCCCCTCCCAAACACAGATAAAAGTGAACTCCACAAAAAAATTAAACATAAACCTTCCAAAAATGAACATTTCCTACCCATCTGACTGCCCTTCTCCTAGGTCATGGTTTTGCCACCAGATAAATCTCCACTATCAGTCTTCATAGCCTGTTGAGTTCAATGTTGCTTGTGTTAGTGACAGTGAATTTGCGTTTGAAAAATGAACTACTGATGAGAACTCCTGTTGAACCTGTATTGTTTGTTATTCTGAGGCAAGGATTTGGCCTGGCTTAATCCCGGGCTTCAAAGCCAATTGCCCTTGCTCTGTATACAGAGCGTCAGAGCCCAGTGGCGTGGGTGATAAGAGAAGTAAGGGTTGAAGACACTGGGAAAGTGGGTTGGGGAGAGAGTGCTTTGATCTCGTCTTAAAGTATTTTCTGAAAGCAAAAGTCTATCAGAAGGAAGTGCCTTCCAAAAAAAAAAAATTCTGAGCAAAGCAACTGAACTTCCCAAACAGCACCCATTCCACACACCCTCCCTAGACCCTCCCCTCAGGGAAAATATGTCTTTAAGAATGCTTTGGGTGTATTAGAAAGTCAGGCTCGCTCTCTCTCTCTCTCTCTCTCTCTCTCTCTCTCTCTCTCTCTCTCTCTCT